TGGACTAGCTACAAATCCGAGATGATCAGATCTCAGCCTCCTGAGTAGCTAGGAATTAGAAACATGAACCACTAGCACTGAACTTGATACCCTCATTTATAATGAAGATCCCAAACCCAGAGGCTCATCCAAAAAGTGCTGGATGAGACTTGAATCTAAGTCGTCTAAATCTCATATTTCTGTCAAATAAAATTTTGTAGCTAGGAGCCATTGATTAGGACTGGGCCCTGAAAACCAAACCAATATAGAACTTAATCCTAGTAGCTGAGCTGCAGTTAATTGCAGGATGCTCTGTAACCAATTGAGCAATGAAGCTATCACCAACTAAGTTGTCTCTCTCCCTCACTTCTGTTTTCTGTAAATGTCCGATACATTGGGGTTGAGTTTTCAGAAGCTGCTCGGGTCCTGGGAGCTGTGTGTTCTGCTTTCTTTCCTCTTGTTTCATTGTGCCAACACTGTCTACTACATTTAATTGGTCAAAGGAATTTTCCCTTTAACATTCTACAATCTTTCTGGTTTCCCAACTGGCCTGCACTAATTATAATAAAAGTTCTGGATGACTGAAGCCAAGATACAGTCAACCATTATTAAGAGATTTATCTGCGGATTTAGCTTTAAAAAAAATATCTAGTAATATTTTTCCAGCAATAGAGCACAGTCGCTGATGAGAAGTTTTTTTTTTCTGAAGAGAGATTGGAGGCACAAACTTTTCTTTTTGCACATTCAATTGAGACAGATAGCTTCTACAGCTTCTTCAGGGCCTGTGTTCAACATATAAAAATATAAGAGACTATTCACAACCAGAACAGATGGTCTCAGACTAAAAAAATAACAATGGCAATAATAAAACAATTTAAGATAGTGCACATTGTGACGTCTTTGCTAATGAAGATGAGAATTACTGCAAAAATAAATAGATTGCCTTTTGTAAACGCACCAGTGTCATGTCATCTCAACCTTTTCCCTTCCTTCCTTCCTTCCTTCCTTCCTTCCTTCCTTCCTTCCTTCCTTTCTTTCTTTCTTTCTTTCTTTCTTTCTTTCTTTCTTTCTTTCTTTCTTTCTTTCTTTCTTTCTTTCTTTCTTTCTTTCTTTCCTTCTTTCGTACATTACTGGAGATTAAACTCAGGGCTTCAAAATTGTGAGGCAAGCAATGTACTGCTTGAACCAGGCCCCCAAGTCTTGCTTTTCTTAGTGTGTTTTCCAGATGGAACTTGCATTGCCAGGACTCAATCTGTGATTATCCTACCTCTTTTTAAAATTAATGATTTTATTGTATTTGTTTTCATTTCATCGTCATTTTATTTTTCCTTATTGTTTGATACAAGGTCTTACTAATGTAGTCCAATCTAGATTCAAACTCATATCCTCCTGTCTGCCCTTCTGAGTGTTGGATTTCAGGTGTGTATCACCATACCCAACTTTCTTTTTCTTTTCTTAGAGTGCATTTCTGACACATTGCTGAAAAGTCACAGAGATAGCTGGCATTTAATCTTATTATAATACTTGCATCAGTAATATTTATACTTAGGTTCGTTTGTCACAAAGTTGCTGCCATCTACTTCTGTGATAAGTCCCCACCTATCCTCAGTACACAAAGTTGTTGTTTTTTAAATTAATGAGCATTAGCCGGGCGCTGGTGGCTCACGCCTGTAATCCTAGCTACTCAGGAGGCTGAGATCTGAGGATCGAGGTTCAAAGCCAGCCCGGGCAGGAGAGACCGTGAGACTCCTATCTCCAATAAAACCACCAGAAAACCGGAAGTGGCGCTGTAGCTCAAGTGGTAGAGCGCTCGCCTTGAGCTGAAGAGCTGAGGGACAGCGCCCAGGCCCAGAGTTCAAGCCCCATGACCGACAAAAAAAAAAAAAAAATTAATTAATTAATGAGCATTGACTTTATCTATTGAGTTGTTAACTTTTTCTCCGTTAATTTGTTGATATAATAAATTATATGAACAGATTCTCCAATGTGAAACCAAGTTTGCATTTCTAAGTGAAATACAACTTGGCACAATAATGTCCAGTGCTGTTCCTGCTTTTACTGGATTCAGCGTGCCAATATGTTGTTGATGGTTTTTGCATTTATGTTTGTGGGTGAGATTGACCTATAAAGTTTCTGTTCTCATATGTTTGTTTCATTTTGTAATGGAAGCAATTCAAACTTTCTGCATGAATTTGGGTGGAGTGTATTCCTTTCCCCATTCTCTAGAACAATCTAGCTATAAGATTCAGATGCTCTGCTCTTGGAATGTTTGTCCTGACGTTTTACCTTTAAATCATGCAGTACAATGTTTTCTCTGTGGGAAGATTGTCAGCTACACACTTTATTTCCTTAAGTGTTATGGTATGATTCCAGGTTGTTGTTGTTTTTGGTTGATGGCACTAGGGTTTGAACTCAAGGCCTGGGCACTATCCTTGAGCATTTTTGCTCAAAGCTAGCACTCTACCACTTGAGCCATAGCTCCATTTCTGGCTTTTTGGTGACTATTTGAAGAAAAGAGTCTCATGGACTTTCCTGCCTGGGCTGGCTTCAAACCACGATCCTCACATCTCAATCTCTTGAACAGTTAGGATTACGGGAGTGAGCCACCTGTGCGGGGCCCTGATATTTCTCTTTTTTTTTAATTTTTAAAAATCCTTCTATAGGGCTGGGAAAGTGGCTCAGTGGCAGAGCTCTTGCCTTGCATGCCTGAGGCCCTGGGTTCGATTCCTCAGCACCACATAAGTAAAAAGCCGGAAGTGGCGCTGTGGCTTAAGTGGTAGAATGCTAGCCTTGAGCTGAAGAGCTGAGGGACAGTGCTCAGACCCAGAGTTCAGGCCCCACAACCGGACCCCCCAAAAAAAATCCTTTTATAGCTATTATAAAGGTCATGTGTAGATGGCACAGCTTCATAAGTCAGGTAAGGAGCACATTTCTTTTTGCACAGTGACACCCCTGCCCTCACTCTCTCCATTTTTCCTCCCGTCCCCCCTCCCCCCGCCCGATATTTTTCTTGATTCCGTTCTGCTTGTCTTCTATTTTCAGAGAACATGGGCTGGAAAGCAAGAGCACCCCCATGATGGGAACAAGGCATGCACTGGGAGGCAGGGGACAGGAAAGTGTTAACAGTTGTGGGGACTGTGACAGGAGTAGCTACTGAACAGGCTTTCGCTTCTATTTTGGACACTTGTCTATCTTAAGCCTGTTTGTGTTTCTCTGGAATCATTTCGGTATTGTCAGCCCCCAGTCTGACTACCAGCGCTGAGAGGGCCCGTGGGCGCCTGGAGCCGCCCCTCGCGTGGAGCTGGGGGGGGCCCGAGGGGAAGCTGCTGCGTGCTCACCGCCTCGGAGTCTCCCACGCTGGAGACTCTTTCTAGAACAAATCTCCGCCAAAGCCTCACGCTGTGTTTGAACAACACAGGCCGTTCCCATACAACTCCCCTGGACCTGAAAAAGAGTCACAGAGTAGATGAGCACATCAGCCGTGGGATAGAACTTACCAGAATCGCCCTTCCTCTAACAGAACTGGAAAGTTGCAAAATACACACCAGACTCGGAACCTATCATTTCTGACATTGGGCAACATATTATATGAAGACTGAGACCCCTGGGAAGAAGAGGGTCAGGGCAGTACCATGGCTTAGGAAAGTGCTGGAGTCCAGCAGTCTCCACGAGGTAAAGAGGTAAAGACTGGAGACGGAGTGGGGCAGGGGGAAGGTGAGGTAATCACCATTGGTAGAATTTCTCAGTCCCCGGAGAGAAAGTTCCAGAAAAGTACATAGGTATTCCGTTGCGGCTTTGGTGCAATATACATGTGTGAACTCTGTGGGGCTGACATCAAGAACCATCACCCCACGATTCACGCTGCCGGACTCACTGAAGGTCCCTCGCACACAGAAGAGCGCTTGAGGGGCAGAAAGTAGCAGAGCACCTGCCTAGCACGCGAGAAAAGCTCAGCCCTGGTAAGAGCACTGGAGAGGAGGGGGTGGGGGCGTGGCTCAGTGGTAGAGCACTTGTCTAGAAAGCAGAGGGCCTTGAGTTCAAAACCCAGTGCTGTTCCTCCCCGCATCCCCCCCCCCCCCCAAACCCCACAAAACAAGTCCTCCCTCTGGATGGAGGAATGAGACAGGTCTTCTGGTCTGTATTAATTCACACACACTCCTCCCATTCCTCCCATCAATGTGGCCTTGAGCGTAGTTAGCATAGGAGGCTTGAGACGCCATGTTGTACGTACGGTGGTTTGAGCGTGACCCATTCCCATGTCTGGACCTTAACCCCTCAAGGCCATCCTTGGGTGCTTGGGGGAGTGCCCTCAGGACTGGATTCATGCCTGTCTCCCAGGGGTTCTTGGTTTAGTGACTACTTGTCTTGTGTAGTCTTGTTGTCTTGTGTTAGAAAGCGAGTCTACCCCTCCTGCTTTGTCCCCTTTCCATGTACCCAGTTGCCCTTCAGCTTTCAATCACGAGTGGAAGGAGCATGGGTTCCTTGCCAGACGTGGCTGTCTAATCTGCAACCTCCCAGCTTCCCAAACTAAGAGCCCACCTAGCAGCTTTTCAAACAAAATGCCTCGCTCGAGGCACTGTTATAGAAACAGCAGACAGTCTGAGACATGTTCTATTATGTCCTTGGTCTAGACTGCTGACTGTCCTCTGGGAATATTAAGATGCTCCCCACCCCCCCCCCCCCCCCTCTCATGGGGCTTGAACTCTGGGCCTGGGCGCTGTCCCTTAGCTCTTCAGCTTAAGGCAAGCACTCTACCACTTGAGCCACAGCGCCACTTCCAGTTTTCTGAGTGGTTTATTGGAGATAAGAGTTTCATGGGCTTTCCTGTCTGGGCTGGCTTTGAACCACAATCCTCAGATCTCAGCTTCCTGAGTAGCTAGGATGACAGGCATGAACACCAACGCCCGGCTAAGATGCCTTCTCTGAAGCAGCCCATGCTACCAACCTTCACTGGAAATCCAGTTCCCCCAGCCCTCCCAGGCGAGAAACAACATGGTAGGGCACTTGGTAGTGACGTGCGTTTTGCTTTATTGAAATTCATTCTTACAAAAGGTCTGATGTATTTTAGGCCAGGCCTAATTTCCTTTAGTCCCTGAAATACAGGTTCATGGTCATTTCCATGTCCTCTTAGGTAGATATGTAAACTAGTCGACTTTTATTCTTTAAGGTTCAAACACTTTTCAACACTGTTTTTTATCTGACATAAAGCAAGATGTGTTGTGCCAAGAGAAAACTCCACCACGTAAGGAAGCTGCATGGGCTTCGTTCTTGGAGTAACTGGATTGTGTACCGAAACTGGGACTGTTCATTGATAACTTTCCACCTTTAGTGGTTTTGTTTTCTTTAGCACAAACTTGCAGTGTGCTAAGCTATGTTTTAAAGAGTGCTATGTTGATAAATGCATACATAGGGGGCTCTGGAAGACGCCTGAGTACATGCGTGCTATGTAGACACAGCAGTCGGTCAAAAGGAAAGTCTCTGATCATTAGGACAGTGGTGAGTGAAAAGCATCTTGGCAACAAAGGATATTGGCTTAGTGGTGAGCCACAACCTTTGCTGGACTTCGCTTGGAGGGTCCAGGTCTCCCTGTCCCTGGGCAAGAAGATGACAGGACAGGTAACCTGACCCCAATAGGACAAGTGATCACCTGCCCCAAGCCTGACGGTGAGTTATGATCCCCCTGACCCCCCCTTACCATTACCTCCCCAGTGTGAGAACACATGAGGCCCAGCTCAGCCTCCTTTTTGTATAAACAACAGAAAATGATCTCTCTGTCCCCACAATGAGGGGAGGGGTGCTGATCAGAAACATATGGAGGCCCATGGTCCTTCACTCCCCTCAGGGGGCCCAAGGACTCCTGGGCTGGCTTCTACCCCTTTAGGATCCATTAGGACTTGTGTTCCCAGACCCCAGGGGCACACCTTAGGGGGCCTGGAAGGTGCACTATCTCTGCCTGCCAACACAACTCTGAGACACAGGCCACTAACCTTTATGGCTCAATGAACAAGCATTGAACTTAGCCTTCCACGGAACCCCCCCCCCCCCATCCACTCTCCTCCTATGTGGACACTTGACCTGGAAGTCCTGTGTCTGGCACTCACATAGAGCGTGAGTGTTTAGAGGACGCACCGTTCTCATCGCCCGTGTCTCTTGCCCAAGGGTGTCGCTCAGGCCTGGCAAGGACAAACTACGGTTCCGGTAGGAATTGAGTGTCAATCATTCTGTCTTCTGACTTGGAGGCCAGGCAAACGGGCCAGGTGTGTGTTATGTGGAGACGGGGCCGCACCCTGCCTGCCTGACATGACTCGTAGCAACACAGCAAAGTGGACGAAGGGTTGTAGCACCCAAGATACTATTTAGCACAACATGGTAGTTATTCAATCAAGCTAGCTTCACTCCCTTTCTCCAGCTCCAGCTGGATTTCCGCACTCCCCTCTGGCTCCTCCTCTCTGTCCCGGCCCCAAACTAACATAGCCTGAAGAGGCAGAGTTACAGAGGAGAAACAGAGCCATTCAGGACTTCTCTTCTTGAGGAGGCATGTATTGAAACTCTTGGCCTAACTGAGGCTTGGGAATTCATCTGGAGTAAATGATCACAACACCTCCCATCCCCACTGCTCCCTCTCCCTCCGCTGTCTTCTGGCCATCTGTAACCAGAAGATCAAAGGCAACGTGGACACTGAAGAGCTCTGGATGGCGATTCACAGCGGAGCCAGCTGGTGTCCCAGCTGGCCAGGGAGCCCTGGCGGCAGGGATGGGCAGGCAGTGGACCCCACAGAGCACTTGCGATCTAGGGGCTGGAAGGAGGGAGAGAGAGAGAGAGGCCCCCACGTCCTGGGAGAGGGCTCTGGGGCAGGAGGTGCTGGGCAGCGCAGAGGCACGGCCAGCTGCTCCCTAGCCGTCCCCCTGACCCACGGCCCGTGGCAGGGCTCATCTCAGTGTCTGTTGCACGTCACGCCAGCGTCCTCGGCATGTCCACAGTTTGTCACCCCCCACTTGGAGAAGCTGCAGCGGAAGATGGTGTCCTCCGTGCCCTTGCAGGCCACGTCATCCATCCAGATCCTTCCGGTGCCTGTGGAGACAGGTCAGCAGCACCTCTCAGCAGGGATGCAGGAAGTGAGGGAAGAGAGAACCCTCCCGGGACTCTCCTCAGCCACTGGCCCAGCAGGCACTGTCACCTGCCATGTGGGGGCTTCCGTCTGCCCTTCCCATCCCAACAAGAACCCATCCTCACGTCTAGGCCCAGTTCCTTGCAAGCGGGATAATAGTAACAATTGCTTGCGATGATAGTTAGGGCGTTCTGCGTCAGGCATCTTATACATTCTCTCCATGGCGCTTTGCAGTGGGAACTAATGAACCCATTTTATAGGTGGAAAACAGAGGCTCAGAGAGCAAGGGGTGAAAGGTCACTCAGCATATAGCTGGTGGAATCAGATTTCAGACTCTTGCTGCCTCCCAGGCTCCCATTTTGTGAGAGATCCTTCTTAGTTTTTGAGGTATGGTAGTTTTTTTTTTTTTGGGGGGGGGGTCCAGTCATGGGGCCTGAACTCTGGGCCTGGGCGTTGTCCCTCAGCTCTTCAGTTCAAGGCTAGCACTCTACCGCTTGAGCCATAGCGCCACTTCCGGCTTTTTTCTGTTTGCTTATGTGGTGCTGAGGAATCGAACCCAGGGCCTCATGCATGCAAGGCAAGCACTCTACCACGAGCCAGCTTCCCAGCCCTGAGGTATGGTAGTTTTTTCCACTAAAAATATCTTTTAGTAGTTGTACTAAGGGGTTTCAATTCAGCATATCAGTTTATGAGTTCAATACATTTTGATCAATGTCACCCCTTTGAGATATGGTATCTGGAAGCTGATAAAGACCGAATCAAGACCTAGCCAGACACATCCTGGATTGCCCCAGTGTCCCAGAGCCCAGCTGGTTAGCACAGGCTTCCCTTCAAATTGTATGGGTTTTAAACTAGGTAGTCCCGTGCTATGAGCCCAGAACAGGGTTCTAAAGTGACAAGGCATCCCATAATTTAACATTAGAACATGATAGATATTCAAGGATCAGCAAGAACCTCCCTAAGCCATAATTAGTCCCCCAATCAGTAGCTTCACCTGCAGCCAGCCCTGCTCACTCAGCTCTGAAGGAGACCCACCATCGGTCTGGAGGGAGCCACACATGGAGGGTCTGGTGCTCTAATTGGCCTCCCAGGATGGAAGCTAAGCCCTGAATGGCATAAATTGGTCCCCTGAGGAGCACCAGGGCATACAGGCAGTTGGCTGAGCCCCCACAAGCCAATGGGGAGGGCTTAGGGGAGTAGAGGAGGGAGTGGACTGTGTAGGAACTAGGCACTGATGGGCACTGGCGGCTCTCTGGCTCTGCTTGGCCCCTTTGCCTGGAGCGGGTTCAGGAGTCCTCTGGAAGAACAACTGAGCTCCAAGATGCCCACGGAGGCTGTAACCTTGCCACTGGGTCCGCAGTGCTTGTTAGAAATGCAGAGGTGAGGGACCCTGCTAAGCCCCACTGAGCCAGAATCTGCCCGCCCAGGCTGGTCTTGCCACTGGAGATGCTCAGGCACAGAGACAGAGGCGGAGCTTTGCCCCGGTCCACAGAGTGGTCACTCCCCAGTCCCAGCGCCCCCTGGAGGTGAGTGGGACTACTTCAGTTTTCAATCTGAGAGGGGTGGCTCAGAATGGGGGGCTTCCAGTACTAAAGCCTGGTAAATTCTGGGCAAACTGGAGCAGTGGGTCACCCCAGCACCTCCATTGGTTAGGCTTTTAGCTTAGGACCACAATGTACTCGAAGGTCATCAACTGAGTTCCAACATCCAAGAGGGTATGAGCCTTAGCAAGTCAATAGGCTGATGCTTCCTGTGTGGGAGTGCTTTCGAATCCACCCACGTTTCCCTACCTTCAAGCACCAACTCTCCAGCTTTGTCTCCCAGCAGCTAAACACCGTCTCCCTCTTTTCTGGTGGAATTGTTGGGACTTTGCAACCCTTAAATGCTGTCACTCCTTTTCTCTAGACTTGCTAGGTAAAAAAATCCCTTTTCAAAGATGTCAAGTGGACATCTAAGCCCCAGAGGTATTGATTGAGTCTGTGGCACCAATATGGTGGCTCAGATGTGTTTTGTCTGTGGAGATACTGTCACAGGATGGCAGGGCGGGGAAGCTGGAGCAGAGTAGGGAGGAGAGGCCCCTGGCCGCCATTATCCAGGACCCGACTTCACTCTAGCCTCTCCCTGGCTCCCATACAATACGCCCTTTGAAGCACAGTAATAACTCGCAGATTAAACATCTCCTGGAAAACACATCAATTCGCAAATTACCCAGGAAAAGGCCTGGGGCTCAGGAGCTCTGTGGGATTAGTCACACCCAAAGCAAATAAAGAGGCAAATAAAAGAGACTAACAAATAAGGAACAGGCCCAGGTTACAAGGCCCAAATGCTCACATATAGAATCTGGAAACTCCAAGCTCTTGCTGGTGTTTAGCCAGGAAGTTCTGGCCTATGTCCAGCCATGAAAAGGCCAATAAACTGGGAAGAGTCATTCAATGAGCAGCCTGGACTATCTAGTTCCAAGACATAATCGGGTATCCCCAAAGGGCTGAGGAGCTGGCCAGCACCTCTATCCTCATCCTTTGGCTCAGAAAGCTTGGAAGTGCCCTGGAGACCCAGACGCTGATCATCTCTGAGCTTGTGAGCTGACCTGAGGGCGAACAGAGGATGCGTGGCACGCATCCTCCCTCCTTGAGAGGACTTGATTGCCAGCTTAAGAGAAATAACCAGGGTGGAAGAGTAGACTGGCTGGAGAAGGGTCTCTCGCACTTGAATGCTCATCGGCATGGCTCCTCCTAACCAGCTCTCCCAGGTGGGGTCAGCAGAGCAGGTAAAAGCCTGGACATCTGAGCCGCTTTTTCTCGGCCTTGCCATTTGTTTGCTGTTCACCCAACTTCTCTGTTCCTCTGTCTTCTCATTGAGACACTGGGGATGATGTGTATTTCCTAGTTCTGTACGGGTTAAATGAGCCTGCCTGGCCCACATTGAGAGCTGCGTAAGTGTTTGCTAACAGCAACATGAAGAAAGCATATTTGCAGGGATCTGGAGAGCTGTCCAGCGGGTGATAGGGGGCTGGGAACGAGGGTGAGTTGGGGAAGTTGACAGGGGAGGAGATTTACATTCAAGGAAAGGAAGACTGTCCGAAGCCAGAACCACCTAAGGGATGCCGGTGCGTTCAGCACAGCGGGCACCGCGCAGAGGCTGGGGGTCACTCTGCAGAATCCCCAGGCCAGGCCGGGGACCCACAGACCCCTCCCCCCCCCCCCCCCCCCCCCCCCCCCCGCAGCCTCACCTTGCCCGAAGCGCGCCGTGCGGTGCACCTCCTCTGCGTTGCGGAAGCCCAGCATGCGGCACACCACGTCCCCGTCCTTCTTGTCCCAGCCGTCGTCACACACGGTGCCCCAGCGCCGCTCGTGGTACACCTCCACGCGGCCCTCGTGCGGGCCCGAGCCGTTCACCAGGCGGATGGTCATGGCGTCCAGGCCACCTGTGGGGCAGCACTGTCACTCTCCGGCTGACACCCCGGCGTTCTCGCTCTCTGACTCTGACTCTCTTCCTGTCCAGGGAGGAGGGAAGAGAGGGCTGGGGTCCCAGCCGTGAGCTCAGGGTAGGTCGCTCCTGTTCTTGGCCGCCTTGCACGGGGAGGCCGAGAACAGAGCCGCAGGGCAGGGTCTGTGCGGAGAATGACAGGAGGATGTTAGGGGTTCTGGAGCAGGTTGGGCGGCATTCAGGGTGTAGGTCATGGGAACTGGAAAAGGCTGAATGTGAGCCTGGACTTAGCCTCTCTGCCTAAGTCTCTCCATTCCTCAACTCACCTAGATAACTAAATGACTGACAGTGTATCAGAGCAGTGGATACAACCATCCCACAAAGGCTCCACCATCACGGGGCTCACACTTTATTGGGGGGAACTAACAAAAAAGCTAGTAAACATGTAATGATAAGTGCACATCTGGGAACTGAAGAAGGGAGCAAAGAGAGAGAGAGAGAGAAAGAGGGAGAGAAAGAGAGAGAGAGAGAGAGAGAGAGGGAGATGTCATCTTTGAAGATGGACCTGGATGGAGTGTGAGGGGAGGGGAGGAAGATTATGGATTCCTTCACTCTGAAAACCTCCTGTCTGTACACTGTCCCTACTTTTCTTCTCCTTTTAAACTCAAGTTAGAAAGCCTTCCCTGGTCCACACCCTCGCCAGGACCCCTCTTCTAGACATAATTATTCCTTTGCATCGTAATCGCCTTGTATTCTCTCACGATGCCAGGAACATCCAAGGACCACATGCACAATCCTGTGCCTGGCACCCTGAGATGCCCACTCCAAAAATGAAGTCGTGCAGGTGTGGACGAATTCACTAGTCAATAAAGACCCTGATATGGTCCTGTCTAGTGGACACAATCCCAAGTCTAGACTTGGGGCGGCAGGGGGGTGGGGTGGGGTGGGTGATCAAGTGAAGAGTCCACCATCAGGACGTCACCATGCCCTGGCACCCTCTTGATGACATCACAGTCCCTTTGATCACCCATTGGCTTCTGCAAATGACCACAGGAACGTGGCCTGTCATGATTCAATAGATGCCGGAGGAAGTCCGGACGATGTCACTTTGGATGTTGACATTCTGAAATTCCCAGGAGGTTTCAATGTACATGGAAGTAACAGAAGAATATTTGGAAACAAGACAATTTCCAAAAAAAAAATTGGAAACATGTGGTAACCATAATTATGGGACTCAGCATCGCTGGCAAGGATGTCTCTGGCCTGTGACCCAAATAATCCTCCTGCACCAGGCAAAGTCCTAGCTCCCGAGCAGTGCCCCCCTCCCCCAAGCTAGCACACTGACTTCAGGGGCTAAAAAGAGCTGGAGGAGTACTGGGGGGAAGGGGCCACTAGAGATGGGGTTTGGCAGGGTTGGAAGAGATGTGACACCACTCATCAAATATCGGAGCTTGTTCCATGCTAGCCAGCCATCCCCAAGGGGTCAACTTTTACTCTGGAAACCTTATCACCCTCCCTTGAACTCATTCAAACCAGATGGCATGTTTCATCTTTACAGAATCTTCTAGAATATAGCCATCACTGTGTGTCTTACATTTGTTCCCCCCCCAACCCCTTTAATGAAATCCCTTTTAACAAAATTGCTACCCACTTGGGAAAGCATAGGCTAACTTTTAACCAATTTGTGACATAGACTGTCCCAATTCAGGGGCTCAAGACAGTCTAAAGGGCTATTCCTCGAACCCTGTCCCCAGCCTGCTTCGCCCCTGCAGAGCTAGCATTCAGTAGTCCCTTTCCTAGGCTCAAGGGTTTGAGCCCTTCCTCTCTCTGCAGCATACTTGGAGACTTGGGGCAAATCACCCAACACAACTACTCGCGCTCTCTAGGCGGAGCCAGACGTCATGAATTGCTCCAGGTCTGGGTTTCTGTGGGTGGAAGGTTTCAACACAGCTTTTTGCCAGGAATTTCTGCCCCCGGGCAAAATTTTTCCACTAAGCAAACACCCTATACTTCATGCTCCAGACATGGTGTCTGAGGAGGCCCCGGCTGACTTGTGACAGCTCCCTCGTCCCCCACCTCCTTCTAGTCCAAGGACCTCCTTCCTCAGCTGCCCAACTGGAGAGGGTCTCTGAAGGGCAGGTGGGGAATCTGGAATTAGGGAGGTGACAGGAAAATGGAAGGCACAGTTCTGGATTACATGAAGCACAGGTACTCCTAGGCCCATAGCAAGAAGAGATGGTCCAGTCCAAGGGCAAAGGGCACAGATGTCCCATGAGCAAGGCAACCATGCTCAGGAGACTGCAGCCTCGGTCCTTAATAGCTGCTCTCTGCTGACTGGAGGCCTGGAAAGTCCTTCCCAAACGGTCCTAGGCTAGCCATGTCCCCACCGCCCATGTAGAGATCTGATGTGGATTTGGGGAGATCACCTTGAATGAAGAGAATGTCACACTCTTCCTCTTGGTCTGCTCCCCTGGCCTGGACTAGAGACCACCTGTCCACGTGACCACAGCTGGCCAGTGGAGAGGACAGTACTGACCACAGGGCTGGTCCCACCGAGCTCTATCAACACAGGAATGGCCACCTGCAGCCTTCCAACTCTTAGCTGAAAACCCAGGGATAATGGAAAGGCCAGTTGGGGGCTACTGACCAGATTTCTGGAGACTGAAAGATAAGGGCTGAGGTTTGAAGCCAGCCCAGCAGGAAAGTCTGTGAGACTCTTATTTCCAATAAACCAGCAAAAAGCTGAAAGTAGAGATGTGGCTCAAGTGGTAGAGCACTAGAGTAGAGTAGAAAAGCTAAGGTCACAGGACAAGGGGCGGTTCATCCCAATCTCCAGCCCACAGGTCTTCTTCTAGCAACCTATGCCCATCCCTAGTAGAGACATGGAGGTATCTAGGGAGCCAGTTCTCAGTTCCTCTTTTCCCTGCTCCCTCAGGATTGCCCAGGACCCTTCAGTTGAGAGAGGAAGGGTAACTTTTATACAGTGAAAACCAAGACAACATCCTCAAATCAAAGCTAAGCACAGAAGCATCAGTGGTTGGTTTTTTCTGTGAGCTTAAGAAGAAAATGGCTGGTGCTGGTAGCTCACGCTTATAATCCTAGCTACTCAGGAAGCTGAGATCTGAGGATTGAGGTTCAAAGCCAGCCCTGGCAGGAAAGCCCGTGAGACTCTTATCTCCAATTAACTACCAGAAAATAAGAAGTGGTGCTGTGGCTCAAAGTGTAGAGCATTAGCTTGAGCAGAAGAGCTCGGAGACAGTGCCCAGGCCTTGAGTTCAAGCACCACAACTGATGATGGAGGAGGAGGAAGAGGAGGAGGAGGAGGAGGAGGAGGAGGAGGGGGAGGGAACAGATGAGTGGAACCCAGCTCTTACAAGCCAAAGAGCCAATCATTTCATGCCATAAGTTTTCTGGGCATCAGTGGTTCTCATCTCTGCTTTCTACCTGGCTCTCCGACCTACTGAACTGACCTGGCCCATTACCCAGGGTGCAACTGGCATGGATGGATGACCCTTGTCCACATCCCTACAGCTCACAGGGCCTACTTCCTCTCCCTGGCCTATTTAACTGGCCTTGCCCATTACCCAGGATGCAGCTGGGATGGATGCTTTGGCCCTGGTCCACACCCCTACAGCCGGCCCAGGTCTTCCAGAGCCTGACCTAGTTCCCCAGTAAAGAAAGTGGGAATGAGACACACGGGATCTGGGCATGGACTGGGCGAGGAAGCTTTGCATTCTCCCAGGAACTTGCTGGTAATGACTTGTGTGAACTTAGTTGTGGGATACAGATGTCCCATCACTTGTGCACAGAGCTATTTTAGTTAACAGTGACACAATCCCTAGGCTGTCCAATCATCACAACTGATGGAGAAACACAGAATTTGCCAACTGGCAGAGACTTGGAGATGACATAGTCTAAAGTTTTGTGTGGCATATGAGGGAGCAGAGAGCCGGAGAGGCAAGGTGCTTTACACAGGTCCCAGAGTGACGAGCCTGAACTTGACTTTCCGCCTTTGGCCTAACTTTCCATCGCTACCTTCTTCTCTTCTAGAGCCACTGCTCTTCCTGAGCTCTGAACAGAGTCCACTAATCTGCTTTACAATCTTGGTGACAATGGCTTTCTTTGGGAGCAGTTATATGAAAAGCAAGTGCTTTAACTTTGAAACTGAAACACATCAAATTCGCAGAAATAATTGATTTATCCTGAGTCTTCGGGAAGGACGGTCATGATGGCAGTGTTCCGTGAAGCATGACTTTGCTGAGCCTGGACCGGAAGAGGAGCATGGCGGGGCCTCGGGTGGGAGGATCGACCAGCCTCAGCTCCTGAGGAAATCCAGTGAACCTGCCTTCTGTGCACTGACCTGGGGCGCTATGGATCTGGTAATTCTTTACACTGTCTTTATTGATGCGTGTGCATTTGTTTTTCAATTACTCATTCAGTTATCCACCTGGATGGATGGATGCCGCCCCTGATGCCTTCCCTGATTGTTCCAGACACCAAGGACTTGTGCATACAGCACCATTGTCTTTGTCCTTGGGGGTCATCCTCACGTGGAGAATGCCCTCTACAGCATGTCACAGCCGACAGAGAACTTACAACTCCCAGAAAAGGCCCCCAAGCAGAGATAAGGAAACTGAGGTTAAGAGAGAGGAAGATGCTGAGCACCAGTGGCTCAGGCCTGTCATCCTAGCTACTCAGGAGGCTGAGATCTGAGGATTGCGGTTTGAAGCCAGCCAGGGTAGAAAATTTCCCATAAGACTCATCTCCAATTAACCATCCCAGAACTGGATGTGGCGCTGTGGCTCAAGTGATAGAGAGCTAGCCTCGATCACCAAGAGGCTCAGGGACAGCACCCAGGCCCTGAGTTCAAGGCCCATAACTGACAAAGAGAGAGAGAAAGACGGGGGAGGAGAAGAAGAAGGAGGAGGAAGAGGAGGAAGCAGAAGAAGAGCAGGAGAATGAAGAGGAGGAGGAGGAGGGGAAGAGGAGGAGCAGGAG